TAACCGCAGAGGGCCCTGCTCAGGGGAGGATCGTAGCCGCGTGGGTGGATCTCCTAAAAGCCAAAGTAGACTTCATGGCGAGAGCTTCTGAGTCGCTGCTATCCGAGGGACGGCGATGACTGAAGCCGGCTTTTGGGTTGCTGGGCAGACCAGAAGCCCACATGGCAGTTCGCCCCGCAGTTGAAGTCGTAGACACATCAGAACCGCCCCGTGATTCAATACTGGGGCGGCTCATTGCCAGGCTTTGGTTGCTTTCAGTCCGACTGAGATCGGAGCTCGTGTTTCTGTTGTCCTTGATCTCGCCGCCAGAAATCACCACGGGGTTCATGCGTTCCCGCAAAAAGGGGTCAACGTGCGTCGTACTGTTGAGGCTTTCCTGGGACGTCCCAGAGCCGGCTGTGACGCGATTCATATACAGTGCGCCGCCACTCCGCCTGCGAGGAGCGCCGAGACGGCCGTAGCCTTCGTGGCCGGTGCCAGCAGCGGGGCCCTTACGTGTTGGCTTGTCTTTCGTATCCGCCTGAGTGATGTCCGGTGTTGTCTTGGCTCGTCTGCCAAAAAAGGCAAACCTGCCATTGAAGGCGTTCGTGTTCGGACTCGGAGTGCGGGCTTGCGTGTTGCGCTCCGACTTGACAGGGCTTGCTGTGGCCGGCCGAGGCGCGGGGGTAGCCTCTCTACCCACAAGACGGGTGGGGACTTCGGACCCGCCAGGAAGAGGTGATACAGCAGTCTTACGAGGGGCCGATGAGCCAGCTCTATCCTCGTACCCATGTCTCTCGGCCACGAGTGAAGCTGATGACAGGTTGCTGTGAATGATAGGCAGAGGTCCAAAAAGCTGAGACTGAAGATCCGGGGTGCCATCTCTGCTGGGTCGCAGAGGCGGTGTTTCGCGTGCAGTGGGCGTAGACCTGGAAGCGAGGGCTGGAGATCTGGAGGGGAAAAGAGATGCGCCATCTGGTCGTACCAGCTGTCGCTGGCGTCGCGGTGATGCTTCGACGGCTGCCCTCTCTTCGTGATGCTTCTGAGATGACTTACGGGGAGGTGGACTTGGCGGCATGGGCGAAAGGCGCTTCTTCTTAATCTTCTCCTTCTCTTTCTTCTCGACTTCGCGCACCGTGGAGTTGGATGATGAAGATGTCAAGGACTCTCGGACGGCAGCCAGTCCTTGAGGGTCCGCACTGATGACGTCTACTTCGTTTGTCGTGCTTCCACGCCTCCGAGTCACAGGCGGTCTCGTCCAGACAGGGCTCAATTGCCTCGGCTTCTGCGCAGGGAAACGGGCAGGAGACATCAGGCTCGGAGACTGCGACGACATGGAGGTTGGCGTCGTATCGCGGCTGTAGGGGCCGGGCCCCGGCGACTCTGAAAATCGTGTGCAAGGGCTGCCACTGAACGCACTAAGTTGGCTGCTAGTGCCAGAAAACGCAGGAGTAGGGGGGGGCAGATCCTGTGTTGATAGTTTGAAGGGGACCTCGAGGCCGGAGCAGTCCGAAAGAACCGGGGGTCGGAGGGCAATACCTCTGTACCTGTCAAGCTCTGGGTAGATCGTAACGGCGTGAGCTTGGGTCTTTGGCAACTCGATCGACTGGGCTACCCGGACCTCCATCGGGCTCTCAGTAAAGTCGTGATCTAGAGACTGTCCAGACGAGGGTTCCATCGAGGAGGTGGAACGGGGAATTGACGATGATGAGCCGGTCCTGCTGGATTCAGTCCGTGAGTGACTTCCGGAGCTTACGGTTGCTTGGGTGACTGATGATTGCTTCCTCCGTAGAACATTACGAGGGGACTTCGTTGGGCCATCGTGCGATCTGCCGGAGGAAGAAGTGGAAGGTGTGGTGGCATGAACCAGGCGCTTTGGGGATGTGACTGTGTTGGAGCCCCATGATGGCAACTTCTGGGGCAGGGACGGACGTCCAGCTGCTGTCGGATGGAGGGCTCCTAGCTACTGGTTCGATGCAGCGCGGCTGAGGGTGTGTAAGAGGGGCGGGTGCCTGACAAGAAGCCGTGATTGTTCGTCTGCTGTCGGGGTTTCCGGCCAACAGTCGGCGGTCGGTCTTCCGCTGTTGTCGAACCCCATGCCTGCTCGCCTTATTTTGGACGACTCGACGGTCCTATTCGGCTCTGGCGGCCTTGAAGAAGACATGGTAGTCCAGATATCGGTGGTGTTGTGCCGAATCTGCCTACCATAATCCCTTGCTCTGCTTTCTTATCCTTACGTTTGCAGGTCCATAAAGAAACGATGTGCAGTTGAAACGTGCCCGATGAGTCGTTGTGGGTGAAGGAAGGGAACAGCCTATGCAAGTGATGACTAAAGAAAGAATCGAGGTGGACGTTCGAGTGAAATTGTGAGAAATATCACTGAACCCACGAAGCCGAGAGGATATCGGGCAGCGAGGCAGCGTCAACAAGTATAAGAGGGGATTAGGGGGCTTGGCGACGGAACCCCTGGAATCGGAGCCAAAATGTCGCAGGGCGATGCTTGTCTAGTAGGGAGGATCCAAGGCCTGGTCCGCGACGGGAACCCTTGGTGATGGAGGGTGGTCTCAAGGTTCCGCGGCTATCGTGGGTACGCGACTAGCCCTTTCGGTATGGGGCAGGTCGAGGATGGTGGTGGGGAGATGCGGCGTCTAAGTACCGTCGCGTTAGGGCGACGGGGTGGGACAGGGCGAGCGAACGAAGAGCGTCCGTTCTAGGAGGGCTGGATGAAGGCTGAGGGCTGAAGGGTGAGGGTTAAGGGCTGAGAGAAGTGAGGGATATGTGACGTTGTTTTGTCGAATGTCCAATGTTGGTTTGGAGGTCAGCGTGAAAAGAAGCAAGAGACGGAGAAGAGTCAAGAACCGCGTCTAAATGCGAGTGACAGGCAACGGAGGACAAGAGCAGTAAAAGGTACAAGAGAAGCTACAGTAGCAGCGGGGTCGTGGAAGAGGGGTGGGACGTCAAGAAAAGTAGCATGGTGGTGGTATAAGTGATTTCTGATGGTGGTCTGGTCGAGCCGCCTATGGTGTCTGAATGGTCAACAGCAATCGGCAGGCGTTGCAAGGATGTGCCCAACGTGCCAGGTTGCCAGGCCGAGCTACGTATCCACCTAGAGACGGTGCTCTGAAAAAAAAAATGCTATTCTTTGCGTGTGGCGTAGTCAAGCAGGCCTTGGTCCTGCTTCTGTTGCACGGCGGTCAGTGGACAGCACAAATCAGGGCGGACTGGCACAGCGAAGACGGCGGACGCCGGGGTATGTAGATCAGAGACGGCCAGCAGCAGACCAGGTCAGGTGGTCCCTGTGTGTAAGGCAGAGAGATGCCGAGGGCGGCCCAGCCGACCAGGCGACCGGGCGACAAAGTTGGGATTGGACAGGCGTGACGAGACAAGGAAGACGACCCCGGGCAAGGCCTCTGGGAAGTTGACTCGGCTTGTCTACAGTACTTGTCCCCAGGGCAGCTGTACCAAGGACATCGATCGACAGAAGGAGGCGTCGCTGGGCCCGCCCAGACGACAATGCAATGTTGATGGGCAAGGAGGCCCCTCCCCCCCGGGCCGGCAAAGGTCAATCGCATCCGAAAATGGCCCATGTTCAGACTCTGCTTCTGGCTCTGGCTGCGCCTGCGCCGCGCTGCAGGCAAAAGGGCCCTTCGAGGTGCATACACGGCCGGTCCTATAGAGTCGGCACGACGGCTGTTGAGCTTGTTATTGGGTGCCAAACCCTTGTCGATGGCTTTTAGCCTGCGGACGCAATGAGGATCTGGGGCTCCCGACGGATGGCCGTGGGTCCTCTGGGTACCTAGGTAGATGGGGCAGCCCAGGCTATGGGTCGCCAACTTTGACGACCGATGGCCAACGGCAAGCTCTGTAGAAGACGACAGATGGTAAAACAAGGTCTTGGCTGACTGCTAGTGGTGGTGGCGGGTGCATCTGTCGAAAAGGAGTGTTTCGTTGGTCCACTGGCAAGTGTCTGTCTATCATAGGTAGCCCGCGAGGCTTGGTTGACGAGTTTTGATGGGTTGAAGGTGATGAACCATTTGCGACAGATGGATGTCCCGATAAGTCAATTTTGTTGTGTAAGACGAAAAGAGAGGGTGGCCGGCCAAGGAAACCATTTTGGTGGATGATCAGACGTCGTTATCACAGGTCCCAAGAGAAAGCGAAGATGGTGGGCAAGAAAAGGTGGTGGGTGGAAGGCGGGGGCCCGAGAAGAGGGTTGAGACACCACGCACCGATGCTGGCGTTGACCTTGATGTTGGCGCTGGCGCTGGTGCTGGTGCTGGGCAGTTGGGGG